TTAAGAACCACTAACCGTCAGATATCATTGATGCCCGGGCAGCCTGTATACCTAGGAGTGGAAACACTTTTTTCTAACACATTCTCTAGGGCTTCGTATCACCGGCTCTCCTCTTAGTGAAGCCGCTGAATTCAGTTGGTGGACAATAGGCCAGTGACGCAGGAGTGGACACACTTTACGTCGCCATGAGACATACTATATATTGGGCTCAAGCGTGTTATAACTAGGAAGTATAAGATGAACAAGATACGACAAAAGAACGTCGGTTTTCGGAACAAGTGTAAAAGGGGCAGTGAGAAGCGGATGTGCCGTAGACTATTGACATCAAATTGCGTGACACCCTTTTCATTCAGTCAAAGAAGTTCATTTCTGAAGCTGTTGACATTTTGAAAGAATCTCAAAACATTTCATAAGCTCTTCACTCAATGCACAAGACGCCTTCTGTAGCTTATCACCGAGCGTGAAATTCTTAGAAGACTGAATCTGCAACATAAAGCCAATTAAGTTGCTGAACCTCCGCAGACGACCCCACCCAAGCTTGCAGTTACCGAAGACGATCAAAAACAGCTTTATGAGCTGCTAACCAGGCAACAGGGAAATTTTACTATAATTAGTGTTCACAAGTTATTTAATGTAGATCCCTTTGTAGTTCTCGACGACATGATGAAATAATCTTTCATCCATTTTTGCCCTTATTAGTGCGGCAGAGGCATCGGTCGAATAGCTAGACTATGATCATACCAAAAGTAACGATCAGTGAATTAATTTACAAATCGATCTTCAGCGCGTCCACCTAAATATATTAATAATAATAATAGACGTCTTTATTTATCCACAACTACGTTGTAGTATAGCCAAATGTCAAACTTACATGGCGAAGTTTAGCATGCTGCTACTCTTACACTTAATCATATAGTATCTAGCAGATGTTCAAAAGAATACACTATCCACAAACAGATTTGGTTCATTACATCGAAAGTAAAATTTTAAAAAAGAGAAAAAGGCATACTTTCCAAACCCAAATGCACCAAAAAATTATTAATCTGAATTAAAGATGGAATAAAAAAGAAATGAATGATTACGTAAATTATATGTTTGGAGGGTTGAATAATAATGTTTTAACTTTTTGTCGAAAGACAGGTAATGAAAATTCTTTATATACTTTAGGAAGGTCATTATAAATAATAGTAACATTGTAAGAAAAACTGCGTTTAAAAAGTGTAGACGTATGCAGGGGTATTCTAATATTATTTTCTCTGAGAGTTCTACAGTGAACATCATTATTAAATGCAATTTTTTCCTTCAAGTAATAAGGTTAAGACGTGAGCAGCAATTTGTGAACAAAAACTGAATAGTGGTACTTGACCCTGTCATTCATTTTTAACCAGTTTAGAACGGGATATTTCGCTGATACATGATCAAATTTACGTAAGCCAAAAATGAATCGTATACAGTTGTTATGAATAACTTGAATAACGTTTTTAGTGAAATTGTCTAAACAAGTATAGTATACGATATTACAATAATTTAGTATAGGTATGGCCAATGCTTCACATAGTTTTTTACGCAACTTAAAATTTAGTAAATACCTGTTTGCTATAAGAGTGCGCAGCCGTAGGTAGGTTTTCTGAGATAGTCTTTTAACATGTTCAATAATGGAGCAATTGCGTATCGTCTGCAAATGACTGGACATGAGAATTATCAATACTTTTGCTTAAGTCGAACGTATATGAGGAACAGAAGCGACCCCAATACAGAGCCCTGAGGTACGCCTGAGGGAATTATTGTCACTTGAGACATTTCTTGATTGAGAAAAACACACTGAGTTCTTTGATGAAAGTAACTGTCGAAAAATGAAAGGAATACACTGTCAAGACCTATGTAATTTAATTTAGCAAGTAATAATTTATGATTTATGCTATCAAAGGCATTCGAATAGTCTATAGAGATTAAGGCTAGTGCCATTTTCTTATCTAAGGCACTTAAAATATTATCTTGCAGATTAAGTACTATAATTTTTTCTAAAGCCGGATTAAGTGTCGGGAAGTATAAAGAATTTTTCTAGGTAAGCGGTCAATTGGAACTTTATAATTTTTTCTAAAATTTTGGATAAAATTGGTAATAAACTGATAGGTCTGAGATCATTATACTCAGTAGTGGGTTTCTTTTTTTAGGAATTGGAATAATTAGATCGTGTTTCCATGTGTTTGGAAAGTAGCCTTTTTCGAAACAGTCGTTAAAGATGTGGACGATGTGATGGAGAATAACTGGCATTGTATAATACGACAGCATATAAACTTAAGAAGTTGCACCGAAATTCGAAAAAGGTAAAAAAGCTTCATTAGGTTCTATCACTTTCCACGCTAATAAGCGAGGAAGTATTGTAATCTCAAAAAGCTTCGAAAGTAAGGCATTATGTTTTCTGAACGTTGGATGGTATATAGATCACGAATAACCATGGCACTAATTTGCATCGGTCTATGGACATGTCTGTTGGTCTGTGTAACATCTAATGCTTCGACCCCCTCTACAACATAGAAAATACTTACTGGGATTTTGACAGGATTTTGCCACAAAGCTTTGAAGTCTTCAAAAATCGATCCAGTGACGAGGGAGCTACGGACACGAGACGAAAACCTTAGAAGTTCCTGAATTTTTGTTTTTCAACGTTCCAGGGAATTTTCTTGATGGATGAAATATTTGGAGTGGAGGGTTGCAGGAGGTGGAGATGGATATGGCTCAGTGCTTTAGCTATGTTATAATTATACCCTTCCAAGTTTTTAATTAACAAATTTTACGTAACCAGGCAGCGTAGGGACTTGAATGTGGATTTTGTCAAATAAAATTAAGTTGAAAGTATTGCTTGTATCAAGTGTTACTATGCCGCCTCAGAATTTGTTTGTTTATAATTGCTACGTTCTTTGTCCTGTAGACTTTTGTTTATTTCTATTTATTTTCCTAAATCTAAGATGACAAATCCTGTACATGTATTTTAATGTCTAAAAGGATAATAAGTAACTTGAGTTTGAAAACTATACTCAGATCAATAGATATTGGAGATATTTAACAGACAGACTTCCCTGTATGGTCGCTCCACTTTCGTAGCGTTAGCAACGTAGCGTTCGATCTGGCAACAGAAGAGAGAGAGTCGATTGAAGCTGAACCACGCAGCAGAAAGCACCGATGAAGACATCAACAGAGTCCGAGATCTTGTACTTTCAGATCGTCAATTGACAGTCAGAATTATCGGGGAAGAGTTAATTTTGACTCACATCACCATTCATCAGATCAAGAACAACAGGGTGTTGCATCACGATAATGCTTCTTCTCATATAGCAATGTCGATAAACAAATTTTTGGCCAGTAAAAACATTCCTGTGGCTCCTCAGCCTCCTTATTTGCCTGACTTGATTTCTTGTGATTTTTTCTCTTACCGAAGTTGAAAAATCACCTTAATTAAAACGACTGTAACCAATCAGCTGGAGGCTATTGCAGTATCGGTGTTCCAGCACTACTATGAGTTATTGAGTAGTTATTTTGAGGGTTACATCATAAAATTGTGATTATATTTGTATAATATAATTAAAAAAATCAGGCTCATCACTTAATTTACAGACCTCGAAGATCACGAATACCATGGCACTCGTTTACGTCTGTTGGTCCCTAATCCTTGGACCCTGTACAAAAGACGACTCGGTGGCGGTTCCTAAATTTTTGTTTTTAGCGTTTCAGATGATTTTCTTGATTGATGAAATATTTTTAGAGGATGTTTGCAGGAGATGGAGGTTATGTCCCAATGCTTCAGCTATAATTAAGCCCTTCTAATTATATTCATCACTTAAACATATTCCACATGATAGCTACATTTTCGATACTCATTTTGAACGAAACGAAAATATGAGTTAAGCCTGTTCCGAATCAGCCACCCAAACCAACAAACAAAACAATATTTTTGGTTTCAATATACTCAGCTCTTAAATCTCATATTTCTTAATCTCTTTATTTTCATTTCAAGTATTTGCAACAGTGATTGTTGATAATAGCTTCAATATTTGAGAATTGTAATCAAATCTGCAAGCAACAGTTTGTTTATTGGATAAAATTGCTTATGTGCTTATATATACATGCATGTGAATTCATATATATTATGTATATAAACATGCAGCAACGTATCTTAGTATTTGCCATCGGAGCACTGTGTACCATGATTGTAGTAAATCAATACTGGTTTGAATGATGTTTACCTTTCTGTTATTGTTTTGTATGAGTGCGTGTGTGCGGGTGTGTGTGTACAAATAATACACTAGTACATGGAATGAGTTATGATTGCGTTGCAAAAGGAGATTTGTGGAAATTAAAAAACTGATTACATGGATTTCTGGGTGTTGAAAATTCATATTGTTTTTCTCTTCGTATAGAAGTGTTCTTAGATACAAGCGTTTTTTGGTAATCTTTTTCATGGAAGAAGTATTTTTTCCAAATATATATATATATATATATATACAGGGTTATCCAAATTAAGTGTCCACCATTAGTAACTTTGTTATTAGTGAAAATACAAAGTTGTTTGAATTAGCAAACTAGTAGCATTTTTAACGCTGGTAAAAATGAGAAATAAAAAAAACAATTGAGAGTCGTTATTTTGATTTTTTTCAGTAAAATAACATTTTTTTAAATGGAAACCCCTGTATATTATATTTTTTTCTGTTAAAGCATCAAATTTTAAACAAAAAAGTTCATAATGACTTTTCCGCTAAAGTCAAAAATAAAGTCAAAATAACGATAAATATTTTTAATTATTTGCAGTATTATAATATTAAGACGGCTATGAAAACAACATGGCGTTCGCGATTTGACAGCATTAAGATAAGCGACAAATTGTTAAACTGAACATACTCGCAACTAGAAGGCTTTGGAAAACAATGATATAATCAAATAATGTCAAACATTAGTGTAAATACTTGTTTATAAGCTTTATTGTGTCATTAATTTAAAGAAAAATGTTCTCCCATGAAGAAAAGTGTGATATGTTAGAATGCTACTTAGTGTGCAGAAAATCCTCCTTGAGAGCAAGAGAATAAATACTACAGTGAATTATATCCCGCTCGCATTCAACCGTATGAACGATATTTTCTGAGACTTTATCGAAGATTTAGGGGCAACGAAAATGTTTTTGCTAAAACAAGGGCAAAAAAAGAATTCATAATAAGCGAGGCCACGGAAATTGCAGTTATTGGATATTTTGAAGCTTATCGTGAGAATTCAATAGCAGATATTCTCAAGGACTCTAATTTCAGTTATGGTACTGTTCAAAGGATTTTAAAAAAATACAAATTTATTCCGTATAAGTACCGACCAGTTCAAACGCTTTTGGCAGGGGATCCAGAGAGAAGACTTGTTTTTTGCCATTGGTATCTTAGCTTCTGTCGCCAAAATGTAAATAACTTTCGTTACCTTTTATGGACAGATGAATCAAATTTTTCAAATTCTGGAATGTTTAATAGAAAAAACCACCATTATTGGTCAAGAGAAAATCTTTTGTTAGTACATCCAAGAGGCCCACAAGTCCGTTTCAGTTTCAACGTTTGGTGCGGTATAATTGGTTCAAAAATTGTTGGCCCGTTCTTTTATGAGGGAACCCTAACTGGTGAAAGATATGTGGAATTTATGTCAGAAATTCTGACTAATTTCTTAGACGAATTGGATCTTATAAGTAGACATCATCTGCATTTTCAGCAAGATGGCGCACCTGCCCACAACTCCAGAGGTACTTATCATTTTCTAAGTACTACTTTTAATGATCAGTGGATAGGAACAAATGGCCCAATACCGTGGCCTCCCAGATCACCAGATCTAAACCCACTTGATTACTTCTTGTGGGGTTACTTAAAGAACCAAATTTACAAGCGAAGGTACGATAACCTTGACGCTTTAAAGACTGCAGTTAGGGAAAAGATAACCCAGATAGATGGTAGGACCATACTTAAGACAGTTCGAGCAGTTGAAAAACCTGCCCAAAAATGTATTGAAGAACAAGGTGGTGTTTTCGAGCATCTTCTTTAAAAAAAAATTGTTATTGTATTTTGTAAGATTATAAGTTGATGTTGAAAATAAAGTTTGTCGATACAATTTAATTGTTTCAGATTGGAGGCCATAACTTCAACAATTTGTAACCTAGGAGAAAAGTTATTGTAAGCTTTTTTGTTTAAAATTTGATGCTTTAACAGAAAAAAATATAATATACAGGGGTTTCCATTTAAAAAAATGTTATTTTACTGAAAAAAATCAAAATAACGACTCTCAATTGTTTTTTTTTATTCCTCATTTTTACCAGCGTTAAAAATGCTACTAGTTTGCTAATTCAAACAACTTTGTATTTTCACTAATAACAAAGTTACTAATGTGTATATAACAAAAAGTAGGAAAATAATGGGCAAAATCCGCAAAAATGAGGAAAGTGGATTCGAGCATAAAATAGGATAGGTAACCCGAGCGATACGTATTTCTGCTGGTTGGTTTCATCAGGCCCGAAATGAATGCACGTATGAAACTACAAAAGTAGACACATGCCCACACATCCGGATACGGGTGTAACCTGAGGAAACGAGTTTTTTTTTTGTTATATACCTTTCTCCGCATGATCATTTTCTCTTTATATATATATATATATATATATATATATATATATATGTATATATATATATGTATATATCCTTAAATTTCTTTGGGTTGAAGGCAAAGTTTTGCATAAGTACAGTCTTACAACTTGAACTCGAGTTTTCGATGGTCTATTCCATCATCGTCTGGAGCTAAAAAACATTTTTTGAAAAAATAGCGACAATAAACAGTAGGAGGAAAATAATTACTTACTAAGTTGGCGAGTCGACGAACAAACGATGGTGGCATAGACCATAGAAAGCTCGAGTTCAAGTTGTGTGAGTGTACTTGTGCAAAACTTTGCCTTCAACCCAAAGAAATTTAAAGATATTTTCTCCTAACAGCTAAGGCAATTAACTATGAATACTATATATATACAGGGTGTCCAATAAGTACCACGACAAGCTTAAGGAGAAGGTAGGCTTTGGACTGATCTCCCAAATAACAAAAACTTACCTATATAAAGGTGCCACCGTTTTTGAGATATTGAATATTTTCTGAAATTTTAAGAAACGAACCTTTTCATCTGTGGTCTTTAGCTGCATGTACAAATAAGATTATACTTTGTTCATTTTTTCTATTAAACACTGATATAGTTGCTTTATCATATACAAATGCAATGTAGTTATATATGTATTAAGGAACCATGATAAAACAAGGACTGTTTTGGGATTTATAACCTTCTGATATTGTTTCCTCAACTTTGACCATATGTGGTGAAACAAAAATGTACTGGGCTATAACTGCATTATATTGAATAAAAAGATTGCTCGTTGAATACAGATTTCAGAAAGGCACCACACGTACTATTTGGAATATAAAAAAGTGATAGCTGCTTTTGTAAGTGACTGACACACACTAATGGAACTATTGGATTTAAATTCAAGTTGCACTGGTTACCGATCAGTGAAATAGTACAAAGCTATATTATTATTACCTGCTGCTGATAGAGAGAGAGAATATAATACTGGTAGCGACCATTTTTCTTTATGAACTTATAACTGTCCCAAGACATAGTAGTTTCAAAATTTTGAGATGTACGATACCGGTTCAACTTGAATTGGACGTTAAGCCAGCTGCGATTTCACTTGAACTGTCAATTTTGACTAACCGGCGCGGCGGCGGCAGTTTATGTAAACATTTCATTGTGATTTATCTGCAAAACAGAACCTAACAAAATTCAATATTAATGCATATTTCCAGCAATACAACACTCGGTATGAATAGTATGAGGAAGGCCCTAATTATTCAGAGATGGAAGCGTACAACAGGTTAGATTCCAGCTTACGAGATGTAACTAATTTACGATAATTCAAAGAACTGTTAGTAGATCTATTTGTCAGCAGATGTTTGAGTTATTCGTCAATACATAATAATTCATGACTCAAGCTACTGCTCTTTTTACATACACTTAAGTCTTTTGATGTTGTTGTGTTATTGTAATCAATTTTATCCCATAACGTGTGACCTACTTTTGCGTTAGTTTTCAAGTCTTCTTTGCTATCAATTCTCCAATGAATTTTAATGATCCATGGAGCATACTGACCTTTCCAATAATGGTGCACGGTCTTCGGTAATGAAGTCGCAATCTATTTATCTATCTTTGTATTTAGTTTTTTTTTGTAAACAAATCACGGCTGAGCTTTAATACTTCTGATCAATATCAAATCTTTCTTCTCAAAATCATTCATGAATAACTATCTAGTTGCTTGCAAACGTATTTCTCACGAATTTTGCCATCAATCTGTCACAGTATAATGCTTTAAATTATCTCTCATGCTGGTGTGGCCAATAAAACCACATATATTGAGAGATCTTCATTACTATTCATTATATTGTTTGACGTACCTGTTACATGCGTTAGAAAATAGAGCAAAGTAATCCTTCTCGACCGTCAAAAGTAGGCCTTTCTTCCCATGCTTAAAACCTTGGGATAAGAGCTGCTTTCCAGTGGTTTTTGGTTTGAGAGTGATACGCTCCCGAACTGCTCCGGAAACAATATCTATTTGATTATCAAAAGGGCTCAAAATTGGCAGAATATGTTTTTTACGATAAACGGGCCACCTCTTATCAATATCGTTTCTTATAATAAATACAATGATGAAACATTGTTAGAAATTAGTCTGCTGTCATCAAGCGTCATTGCATGGCTCAGTAATAATTTAGGCCTTCTGAAAATAAAGTTTCACAGTATTTCTAGAGTAAAATTCCATTACTGTGTACGGTATTACGTTAGCAAGTGTTCACAAACGCATCCCTATAGTAAATATTTGATTTATCTGTCTTCAGAGTGACAGTTCGTTTATTTTTTCTTGTACTTAAGAAGATCACCTTGTGATCCAAACATTTACTACAGTAAGGGCTCGCGCAAACAGACAAGCGTTTAAACCGAGTTCTAACACAGACAGAAGGCAATCACGAACGCTGCGTTCCACTTTACGAAGATTACTTTTAGGTGAAACATGTATTTCGATAGTTCGTCTTCGGAAGAGGGAAGGGTGTATCCGATTAATTGTGAGAGAGATGAAAATGGAGAGCTTAATGTTCTTTTTCCTGCATTGCTTGAAGATGAAGAACGATTTTTTATATACTTTCGAATGTCATTAAGTAGTCTCATGCTTATATAAAAAAGGAAATCGAGAAGCAAGACACCAACTGGAGAAAGACTATATCTACAACAGAAAGAATGGTAGTATTTTCCCATTTCCGTGGCTATTTCAAGCCATGCTGCATTTTTTTAAACTATTTTATAGTCTGCGTTACTAAGATCATATAAAAACGCCCTTCCCTTACTAAATCAATTAATTTTTCTATGGAAGCCATCTTGCGCACCAGGAGTTCCACGAGTTCTTTGTGTTTCTGACAATAGAACGCAAAAACGCGAGTGTTTACACTGACGCAGTCTGACTTACGCTGTGTCTGCGCGACTCTATAGAGATCTATTAGTTACAAAGAACGTGGAACGCAGAACGCAGAACTCGGAACGCTAAAGAATATCTTTCAAGACATGTGGTTTTACTGGCCAGACAAGCACTGGGGATTATCGACGTATAAACCACAGGATAAGTTTCAGATGTTTATTTACTATAAATTATATCGTATATTTCAATTTACTTGATTCAATTGCTTGTAAAAGTAATAATTTTCTACTTCAGCTGTGTGATCTTTTTGCATCTTATATTTCGATAGCAGTGCCTGCGAAAAGCATGCTGGAGGGAGGTTCTTGTTTCAGTTCTTTGAGACGTTTTGATGACACTCGAGAGTATGTTTCTTCGCCTAAAAAATTAGCAAGGCGTCATCTTTACAACTGAGCTAAGGCTCCTTAAGGAATGCACCACTACTGGAAATCCAATCGTGTACTGAATCTTACAACTTGATGAGAATGATTTGTTGAGGTTATTTGTCAAGACCGCGTATCATTTGTAATCCTTTATATATCCGAAAGATGTAATTCGAATGCGCGTGGCCAGCCGTTCCTATATCGATTGGTCAATTTAATGAAAAACGCAATTTACACGTATTTTAGTTATGCTGAACCAATTTAAATGAAATTCCACTAAGCTCAGCCGCGCTCCAGCCGAGACTGCGTTGAGCTCCTATCGATGCAGCAGGTATGAAAGTTAAGCGTAAGGTTTACCGAACCAAAGCTTGGAAAAGCTTTGGTTGAGATCGCCATTGTAAGTTTCTGGAATGGCCGCTAGGAGGCGCAACTGCAATCGTGAATCTAAAAAGTGATGTTTATGTAAATTCCTCTATATTTACCTAATCCAAAAATACCTAATTTTGAACATCGAGGATAAAAAGACTGTTTTTGTTTGACAATGTTTGCTGCTGTATCACTAAAAATAAAGTGGTGGGAGGTATTCAAAGGTTTCCGTGAAAAAAAACCTGTATCTTCGAAACGGCTAAGATGATTTTAAGAAACTTGGAGTAGTTGAAAAGTTTTATAGCTGAATGATGTCTAAACAAGCTCTGGAAAACCGCATCTTGTTCCTAACCTAAAACTTAGGCCAAAGGTTTTATACGGACATCCCTTAAATGTTTATTCTTTCAAACTAATCTTATAATTACAAAATATCGCTAAAAGGTAAGTATTTGTAACTAACCCCTTATATTGCTCAATAAACTAGTAGTGATGGCCGGAAAACAGTTATTTTGGGATAAACAATTAAAAAATTCTCAAAAAACTACTTGGCCAATATAATCCAATTTTGTTGTTATTTAGAAGTATGAATCTTACGGATTTGCAGAATTTCAAGTAGTTTCGTGAAATTATCGTAGCATTACCAACAAGTGCCAAAACCTGCATTTTGCCTCGTTTTTCGGCCATAACATTTTTGTTATTAGTCGGATCTTTTCACGTGTGGTCTCATTTTGTAGGTCTC